CTTCTTTATCCATTCATCTGTCGATGGACATCTTGACTCTTTCCACAGTTTGGCTATTGTGGACATTGCTGCTATAAACATCGGGGTGCACGTACCCTTACGGTTCCTAATTTTTTAGTCCAAAACTAGCATAGATCACTTCTGTTTACTTTCCGTTTACCAAAACGTGGCCACATCTAACTGTAATAAAGGCTGGAAAATCTAATCTAACTATGCCTAGAAGGATAAGAAATGGTTTTGGTAAAGGCATAGAAGTCTGCCACAAATTGACTTGAAATTAACTATAATTGTTCTATTTAAGAAAATGATAATAGAGGGTCGCCTGCAGAACACTCTGTCGTGTCCTTTTTCTGTCCTTTATGGGCTACATGTGACAACCTTCTCAACTGTGTACAATTCTGAGCCGAGGATATACTAGTATTTGAACACAAACCTACCTGAACACTAACCTTGACCCTTCCTATACTTAAATTTAGAAGTCTCAGATTTTTCTAATGCTGTGAGGGTCTTGTTATTTGGCATTGATGTTAACACATCGGATGAACATTTGTGGTAGGTTAGGTAGTAGTACAAAGTGGTATAGAGTACAAAAGGGAGAGAAGAGAACACTCAGAGCTCTGTCTTATCACTAAAACTAGTAACGTTTCAGATTATTGTGGCTTGATATTGCCCTATCTAAAATATGTGAGGGAAGTAACTTGTAAGTTTTTTCACCTTCATGCCTCATGCAATGTCTCAGTGATTAAATGGGGTAAGCATTCCCGATTGGCAGATAGCTTTGCACCACAGGGTCATTCAGGGACTCATATTCCTACAAACAAGTTGTTTGCCATCCTCCTAGGCCTTGCCATCATTTGCATAATATCATCTGAGTTGCATGGGCTCCCCCTATCCAAAAGGGTAAAGAGAATGTGGAAGAAGCACCCTCACTGTCTTAAGATATCAACAGGCAAGTGGCACACATCACATTGTTGTGTTCACATTCCACTGGTGAGAACTGTCCTTTGGCCATATCTAACAGTGAGGAGATCCGAGAACTACAGTGTAGGTGGGCAGCCCTGATACCAGCAACAGTCTTTTACTGTGGAACAAAGCAAGAATGCATCTTAGAGGTAGGTAGTCCTTGCCACAGGGTCCATGCAACCAAGTAATAGGAGTAATAATTAGAATAGAATGTTATTGGAGCACCTGGGTGACTCAGTCCATTAAGTGTCCAACTCTTAATTTCAGCTCAGGTCATGATCTCAGGGTCATGAGATTGAGCCCAGCATCAGGCTCTGTGCTGGGCATGGAGCTTACTTGGGATTCTTTCTCTCTCTCCCCCTGCCCCATTCCTGTGCTCTCTCTCTTTCTCTCTCTGTAAAAAAAAAAAAAAGAACGGAATGATATTTTATTGCAAGGCAAAAGAGAAGCACAGAAAGTTTGAGTTTTTCATGTTGTAAGTTATTATTTATTTCACTTACACTGCTGCATAAAATAGTCACAAGATATAATTGCATGTTTTTCAAACTTATACCCTAATTTCTTCTAATATTTAGATAAGAAGAGAATAATTTGTCATATTGCCTTTATTTTCATGACAGCATGTCATTTGTACATTTACTGTGCCTCAATGGATGCCAGTCACTGTGCTAGACCCTGGGGATATAAAGACAGCTAATACATAGCCCTTATTCTCCAGAAGCCCACAATTAGTGATAGACACTCTCAAGTTTTTCTCTTGTTTTTTAAGTGCTGAATGCTATGCTCAGCACTGACCTAGAGTTATCTGCACAATTCAGCATGGGTATAGAGAAGGTTCAAAGGGAGTGATTGCAGAACACAGAGGGCCAAATCTAGAAGCAAGAGTGGGATTGGCTAAATGGACTCAAATAGGGAAGAACGCTATAAGCCAAAGAAATAGTGTAGGAAATGCTAAGAAATTCACGTCACAGCTCACCTGTGAAAACTGCTAGTGAGGTAGCCTGGAGTCTACGGTACAGGTTAGGACAGAGAGAGTTAGACACAGGCAGGGTCATTAGGAGCCTTGCATCCTGGGCTGGTAGTGGGGACTTCTTCTGTAGGTGGCTCCTTGATACCCACACCTGGTCAGACCTTGTTTTCAAAAAAGCATTATCTACATAGAAAGATAGATTGGAATCTGAGAAGTTCAAAATGCTAGCAGTAAGGTTAAACCTTCTGATACTTTGAGAAAAAGATATTTTAGACCAAATTTTTGTGGAAAGAATTCCATAGAGTAGAAAATCTTGACAAAACACTTAGGAATTTTAAGTCTTTGAGAATCAATCCATAAAAGAAATAATACTTTTTAATCAAACTTATAGTACTGAGTGATATAGTGGTAGAAGACAAATATGTATATTGACATAAAGCCAGCTTCAAAGGAGACAAAGAGGAAAATGTGAATTCGCAATGTAAGGCAGCTTGTAACTAGACACACTCAGAGTGCAGTGGGCTCCTGGGGCTGGGAGTATTTAGGCAAGGAAATTTAAAATCATGGAATAATAAGGGTGTGGGATTGAATATTTGCCTTGAATGGAGACAACCTGTATTTGATATATCCTAGTTCATGGTTAGAGAGCAGCAGATTCTTCCTCAAATGTATTTTCACACAAAAATACAAAAGAATGGCAATTGTACAAGCAACTAATTTCTTCTCATCCTCCCAAGTCATGGAAGGGTGGAAGAGGATTATTAGCCACAAAAGGGAATTATTGGGTAGAGCTTCTCTCTCCTCCAGGCAGGATTCAGCACGTGCTAGGGAAAAGAAAGGTGGTGGAATATTTCTGACAGCCACTGGTCTTAGAAGTCAGTTCCTTCAGATGAGACCCCCAGGTGGGGTGGTAGGGCCAGTAGGACAGACTGGATGCGTCTCCTGTGGCCTTAGGCTGTCCTAGAATGGTCCCCCATCCGGCCTCTCGGGCCACAGTGTACAGTCCTGACTAAAGCCCTGCTTTAAAAAATCCTGCCTACCAGGTCGGCCCTGGACCCTTGCCTCTGTAAGTCTAAGTACCATAGCAAGGCCCAAGAGAGATGGACCCACCAGTTCTGTCTCTTGGGTGTTTCTATGATATCTTTTGTTGCAGTCATCCTCAAAGTTTGAGTGTGTGTGTATGTATGTGTGTTGTGTGTCCTATCATTTGGCTTGTGACTTCCAAGGCAGCGAGATTATGTCTTGATTATTTTTTCCCCTCTGTCATTGTATAATAATTGAATTGAGTAGAAAGTTACTTTGGCTGAAATAGGATAAACCTCCAGATTTCCCTGGGTGGGAAACCCAGCTACCCCACGCCTCATTAAAAAAGGTTCTTAGCAGAATTTGCACACTTTTTCCTTTAATGTGACAGAGAAATAGTTTGGGGAAAAAAAGAGTAAAATAGTAAAATTGTTTCTTTCAATAAAACAGTAAAATATGCTTTACATAGATACTTGTTGTGAAGAGGATTTGGGACAGCATCACTACCTGTCAAATACATGTAAACTGTTAAGTTTTATTTTTGCTTTTCTGCTCTTACCTGTCCCCTCGCTTTTAAAAATAAATACTCTATCAATGAGCAAGATGTTGGTAACCTAGTTTTCTGTATTTTTATATCCCGGGAGCTTTGTTGTTCTAAGTCTGTTCTGCCTTGACTTGTAAATCAGCTTAATTTAATTCTAAATGAAATCTCTAATTTTTCATTATGTTTGACACAAGCTTAGTAATTCTCAGAAAAGGTCCTTGTTAAATGAAGCTGAGCTAGAAATTCTGATATTCAAGGATGCTTACACAAACAACTGTCATTCTCTGCAATGACTTCATTATTCAGTGACAGTTAACAGCACTGTTTTATTTAAAAACGTCTTTGTGTTTCTCTGCTTGTTCCAGCAACAGTTTTCCTGGAGTTCTGGAAAAGACGGCGAGCCGTAATTGCCTATGACTGGGATCTGATAGACTGGGAAGAAGAGGAGGTTTGTATTATTTACATCAGAATTTTTCAAAAAGCAAATCAACAAACACACAGTCCTCTTGACTTGCGTCTCTCCTCTGTGACAGAAGTCAGGTTAACTCATAAAGCATTTCAATACCTGTCTTTGCAAAAAAAAAACTTCAGGTAGTATAAAAACAAGCAGAATTTAAAAGAAAGAAAAGACAAGATTGTGATTGCTTTGTAGAATAAGATTCCGTGGCTCAGTAAAGCATTTCACTTGTAGGTAGAGACATCAGAAGCATTAAGATTTGTTTAGTTTTCTTAAATGGTATCCATTTTCTTTACTTTAGTGGGAGAGTATTAGTCTCACAGCTCTAGGTACATGGAAGGAAACCTTGTGAGAGAATTCCAGGGAAAAGTTTCTGTGAGCTCTCCAGAACCCTTGGACAGTGCCCAGAGCTGTAAAGGCTCAGAAGTATGACCTCAAATCCATAAATGCTGAGGAGAAACCACTCCTCAGAAGGCCTCCTTGGTGGAAGTGTCTAAATACCTCTTATTCTAGCCCGTGGTGCTCAGATTGCTGTACAGAAAAGCCCTAACTTGCTTCATGACTTCTTCACGGAGAACCCAGTGTATTAGTTTTCTGGGGCTGCTATAACAAAGGACCACAGACTGGGTGGCTTAAACAACAGAGTTTAGTTGCTCACATTTCTGGAGGCTGGAAGTCTGAGATCAGGGCGTTGGCACAGTTGGTTTCTTCTGAGGGCTGTGAGGGCAATATCTGTTGCAGGCTCCTCTCCTTGGCTTGTAGACAGCCGTCTATTCCCTCTGTGTTCACATCATCATTTCTCTGTGCATGTCTGTGTTTAAATTTTTTGTAAAGAACCAGTCGTAGTAGGGGTTGTTGTAATAACTTCACTTGACCTTAATTACCTCTGTAAAGACTGTCCAAATACAGTCACACTCTGAGGTACTGCGGGTTAGGGCTTCAACAAATGATTTTCAGGGGAGGGGAGACACAGTTTAGCCCATGACACCCGGAAACACAGGTCTAGCTCCTGATCGGCCTCAAGTCCCTGGATAATTAACTCAGTGACTTAGATGACACTCACAGCCTGATAAATTCAGAGTTTCCCAAAGAAACAGAAGATTCCAGGTCTGTTCTGTTTATATCTTCAAGTGTCACTTCCTAAAATAAGTGAAAGAAGGCAGAACCTGTTTATAACTGTATCTCCCCCTGTCCTTCCCCATTACCTGTCACTGAGTGAAGTCCAGCCTTGGGCTTATTCTGCAGCAGGAGTGAGGCTGCCCTTCCTCCTGCACACACAGGCTACTGCCAAACTGTGCCCGTTGTCCGGAACCTGACTTCTGTCAGCTCCTTCTTCATGTTCTGTTGGTCTCTCCATCTGAGTCCCAAGCATTTCTGCCTGGGTTAACTCAATCTCCATTTCACCAGACTTTCCACTCATTGCCCTCTTCTTGCAAGACATTCACATAGAACAGGTTCTTAATTAACCAGAACCACTTTAGCATACCCTCTTGCTGATTTCCTGTTCCTAATCCCATAATTGCTTTTTAGTCAGAAGCTTTTCACGTTAGATGGGGCTCAACTAAATGAAACAAAACCTCAGCTTGATTTAGAATTAGAGCTGCCTTGATTTTAGCTGGATTTGAAAGATGTTTACCTTGTTTTCAATACCAATTAATACATTTAAAACCTACTGGTTAAAGGTGAATGACTCTTACAGGAGCTTATTAAAAAGTAGATTCACATTTTTGGCTGCCTCAGTTGAAAGAAAAATTTTTAATTGTAGGAGGAAACTAAGAATTATATTTGCCATTGTAACTCACAACATGAATTCTAGGCATTTTGCTGTTCAGAAACTTTCTTTTCCCTAGTGTCCATAACATTCCCTGGTAATAAAAGTAAAAGTTTAGTAGTTGTTTCTAACTGCTAGGGACAGGAGAGGTGGTCCCTTTTCTCATTCTGTTTGTTTCTTCAAGCACAGCTTAATAAGAAACAGAGACACTTAACTATTAGTCTAAATTACACTGCCTTGGTGATAATAAGTCTAGATCATCACCCTTTAGATTTTCTTCAAGTGGTCAATTTCCAAACATTTAAACCTGGGTCTCTGAGCCCACTTCACTGATTGACTTATTAATGTGGTAGCTGTTGATTCAGTTTTACAGTAGAGTATAAAAAGTTTTTTTTAATTGTGTGTATATATCTCTCCAGTGCATAAAAAAATGTGTCTGTTTGTTCTTCAGGAAGAAATACGGCCCCAGTTTGAAGCCAAGTACTCCAAGAAAGAGCGAATGAATCCCATTTCGGGAAAGCCAGAACCATATCAAGCATTTGCAGATAAATGCAGCCGACTTATCGTTTCTGCATCTGGGATATTTTTTATGGTTTGAAACTTTTCTACAAAACTCTTTGTTTCATAAAGTACACACCTGGAGCATGGTATCAACAATAATCAGATCAGGCATTTGCATAATTCTGCAAAACATTTTTGCACATTCTGTTATTTATTCCTCACGGAGACACCGTGAGGTGGTCAGAGATGGTACCGCTGTCCCTGTGTTCCAGATGGAGCCACTGAGACTCCAGAAGGCTAAGAGGCTTGTTCAGGATCAGCCAGTAAATAGCCAAGAGCTCCAGTTCTTTTCGCTTGCCTCTCTGTGCCTTGCTGAAAAGAAATAAAAGTTGAGATAGGACCTGCAGCAGGGTTTTTCAAACCTTTTGCTTGCCGCGCCCATACAAGGCATTCCCTGTCATAACCCAGTGTATGTCATGCCAGGAGATGTATAAAACTAAACAGAGTAACTGAAACAATGCTCACCTTTGCAATATGCAATATTCTGATTTTTTTGTTTTATTATAGTCTATTTTTTAATGCCAGCCATAACCCCCTAAAATCAATTTCCAGATTCACTAATGGTTATGTCAGCTTGAAAAACACTACCTTGAACCTGGGTTGTTGGCTTTTCCTAAAAAGAAGTCCTTTGGTGATCAGCTTTGACCCTGTTAATCACTGAACAGAACTTAACGGAAATTTTTCAGAAATGTCATTTTAGAACGGTTAAGTGGTTAGGATTCTCCTTTCCTGTTTTCAAATGGTAGAGTGTATAAATAGGTATTGTAGATCATTAGATTAGGAAGGACAAGATGACAGCAAATCTGGACATACTACCTGCCCCCCCGCTTTAGCCAAAGAAACTGGGGAGATGAAAGGATGGGCAGCGTGCCCAGGAGTCTCTTGGCTCAGACCAAGATTCAAATCCACACCTTTCTACAGACACTGCTCTGTAAGCAATTGTATCATGCTTTGACTTTAATAAGTACATTCATATTTATTGTCTTGCTTTTTGCTCTGTAGACGTAAAGTAAGTTTTTCCTACTCTGCAGATGGGCAACCTAGAGCATAGGAAGCCAAAGCCATAGAGAGGACAAACTATGTGTCCACAGTCACAATGCTAGGTAGAAGCTGAGCCATGACCCGGACCTGACTTCTGACTGAGTCCAGTGAGGGGTCCATTCCACCACATTGCCACCCTGTCTAAAATTCAGTGTAGATTTCCCCGATCTCCCCAACAATAGCTCGAAGATTAAGATGTGGGCTGTTGTTAGTATTGTAATTTTGGCCAGTTCCAGCTAGGGTTTATACTCAAGCTTTTAGAGCATGTCACTCATAGGAAGCCAAAAACGGTGTAAAACAGAGGACTGCTTCTAGCAATCTCTAAGTCAGCAGAGTCCATCCTGAGGCTCAGCTTAAAGTTTTTGATAACTAAGTTGGTAAAAGTATTTACTCTGATATATTGAGTCACCTAATGAGAGACACAAACTTTTTGGAGTCTCAGATTTCCAGTAGATAGAAGACATGTCGTGTTCTTGTCACATACCATGAAATCTTCAGAGAAAGATTGCACAGTTCAATGTTCATAACTGATTAATAAGAGATTATGTACCTATCAAATAGTTGGCTTATTCAGCAACAAATAGCTGAATATTTATTATGCACCCGTAATTATGCTAAGGTGCTATACAAACCATGGTGAGCAAAACAGATGCCGTACCTGCCCTGATGGAGCTTACAGTGCCCCCCTCCCCTTTATCTGCAGTTTTGCTTTCTGGGGTTTCAGTACCTGCAGTCAACCCCAGGCCAGAAGCAGACGATCCTTCTGACATATCATCAGAAGGTCAATAGTAGCCTAATGCTACATCACAGTACATGTGTCATCTGCCTCACTTCATCTCATCATGTAGGCATTTTATTATCTCACATCATCACAAGGAGAGTGAGTACAGTACAATAAGATATTTTGAGAGGAAGAGAGACCATATTCACACAGCCTTTATTACAGTGCATTGTTCTGTTTTATCGTTAGTTACTGTTACTAGTCTCTTACTCTGCCTAATTTGTGAATTAAGCTTTCTCATAGGTATGAATCTATAGAAAAAACGTAGTATATATAGGGTTTGGTACTGACCGAGGTATCGGGCATCCACTGGGGGCCTTAGAAATATCCCCCATAGATGGGGGGGGTCTACTGTACTTTCTAAATGGGGGACTGTCAATAATCAAACTGACAAATTGTTAGAAATTATAAATAGGATACTAAACGAAGAGTATAGGAACCATGTAACAACAAAGTCTGAGGGTCATGAAAAACTTTAGTTATGAAGCGGTTCTTGAGCTGAGGTGTGAGGGAGGAGTAGGTATTAACTAGGCCCAGTGTGTGTGTGTGTGTGTGTGCGCGCGCGCGCGTGCATGTGCACACACATGTATGTATGTGTTTGGCTTTAGGCAAAGGAAATGGTCTTGAAGTTTAGCCCATTTGAAACCATGAGGGTTCTGGAGTCCCCAGACAAAAGGGAATATGGCACTCCACGAGGTAGAGAAAGTCTTGCCACCATTAAGGCTTTGCTTTTATCCTAAAAGAAACCAATGAAGAGTTTTACACAGAAGAGTGACATCATAAGATTTCCATAATAATAATGCTCAATCTAATACCCTACTTAATAAAATGTTACCCCATAGCTTACACAGTTTATCAGCTTTCAAGAACTATGGTTCTTCTATTTGAATAACAAAGAAAATACAGGCAAGAGAAAGTATTAACCATAGTGAAAAGTTAGCATTTTATTGTGGTTTCTTGAGTCAATACTGTCATTTCCTTTTCTTGTTTTCCAATGGTGGGATTTTGCAGTGGTGGGAACTCTCCTCCTGAGACATTACACCACAGTGCTCACTGGCTCTCTGTCTTCCTCCCAGATCTGTGTGGTGATTGCTGCCGTGTTCGGGATCGTCATTTACCGGGTGGTGACTGTCAGCACTTTTGCTGCCTTCAAGTGGGCATTAATCAGGAATAACTCTCAGGTTGCAACCACAGGGACTGCCGTGTGCATCAACTTCTGCATCATTATGCTGCTGAATGTGGTAAGCGAACTACAAGGTAACTAGCCTGATGGATAAACTGTGTGGTCTGTGGTTTTCTTCTGTTGCCAAAGGGACCCAGCCTCGGAGGGGTGAGCCTGTCACATAGCACTGATGGCTGGGCGGCCAACTGCCTGGCAGGAGATGCACTCAGGTCTGGGGATTGAGAAGCTTGAGTCAAATCTAGGCTCCAGGATTTTCTATAGTGGAAGGTACTAGCCCTCTCTGAATCTTAGTTCCCTTAATTTACCCAATAAGATAACACTGTTGATATACCCCTTGGGGAAATTTAGAGAAAGAACATATTTTAAAGGCCCAGCCCAGAATCTGTGACATAGCTCAACAGGGCTGGCTCCCATTTCCTTTTGATTCTGAATGACAGGAAAGTGGTCAGTATCCAAAGTATTGTTTGAGATAACCCTGCAAGGGACACATCAGGAGGGTACACGTTGCTTGTGTTAATTTCAGGGTTTTTTCAATTCTATATTTCAGCGCAGATGTCTCCCCTGAACCCCATACATCCAGCTGCCTACTCCACCACCCTCATCCAAACCCCTCTCTTCTCTCCAGTATCAGTTCCTCCACAGCTCCCCCCGTGGTAGTGGCTCAGGCTGAAAACCTTGGCATTACCCTTGACTCCTCTGTTTCTCTCAGTGTCTATTTCCAGAGTTTGATTACTTCTCACACGTCCCCAAGTCCCACCTTGGTCCAAGATCCCAGTAACTCCCACCTGGGTTATTGCAGTGCCTTCTTAACTGTTCTCCCAGCTCCCATGTTTGCTCCCTCAATTTAGACTCATCACGGCAGCTAGTGTGAGCTTCTTACCTGTGAGTCAGCTCCTGGTACTGCTCTGTTCACCATGTCCAGTGGCTTTCCTCTTGCTCAGAATAAAAGTTCACATCTTCATGTGGCCTCCAGGGCTCTCCTTCTGGCCCCAGTGACATCTCTGACCTTGTCTCCTGCCTACTCACCCTGCTTCTCCTGCTCCAGGTGGGCCTTCCCTTTGTTCCCTGGATGTGCCAGCCATGCTCTCACTCTAGGGATTTTTTACTTGCTCTTCTCTCTGCCTGGAATATTCCTCCCTGTGGGGTCTGTATGGCTTAATCCCTCACCTCCTTCATTTCTTTGTTCAAATGTTACTTTTCTAATATAAGGTTTCCGTGGTGACTCAGTTTTAGAATTGTAACCCACTCCTGCCATCTAACAATTTCCTATCCCCTTGCCTGCTCTATTTTTCTCTGTGGTACTTATTACCATATAATATGCTGTTTTTAATTTATTTTATTATCTGTCTTCTCCCTTGGAATGTAGGCCCATGAGGGCAGAAACTTTTGTCTGTTTTTTTACTCTTGTTATTTCCCAGTGTCTGGAACAAGGCCTAGCACATAGTAGGCTCTCAGTAAATTGTTATTATTTGCAGAATAGTATTATTTGCTGACATTTTTAGATTTGAGGTAAAGCTATACATAAAAATATTGATGTTAGAGATTTTTAGCAGGGAATAAATAAGATAATGTATGTAGAGTGGTAGACGTGGAGTAGCTGTTCAATTAATTATGGCTCCCTCACCCTTAGTTTTGTTGCATCCTAAATCTGGGCCATAATGCTGAAATTCTCTCATCACTAGAAAAGGGTTTTCCAAAGGCCAAGTAATTTAATGCTATTATCAATATAGTTTAATCTGTTTGGATTGTCATTTCTAGCTCCTTAAATAATCCTAAATTCTATAACCAATAAACTCAGGAGTGATTCTTAAGAGAATTCAACCAACCCAATAATAAAAAACTTCATTTAGGATTCTTAAGTGAGCAAGTCATCACTGAGCTAGTGAAATATAGTTGATTTATTATTATTACTGCTATTACTATTACCATTTATTATTAAAATACACAGGAACTTCTATATTATTTTAGAAAAAAGTTTCAGAATACAGTTCTAAAAATGAAACAAGAGCAGTTGCTAAATCACTTGACATGATGATTGTATAAGTGTGTGGCCAAATGGAGGTCGAGAGTGGACATGTGGCACACCTTGGCTCTCTCTCCTCCAGGACTCAGCTTGTCTCAAAGTTAATTGTGGAACGTATGCATTGTAAAGGGGAGTGATTCATGGTGAAATTAACCAAACAGCCAGAATAGTGAAATATTTTGTGTCCAGGTAGTTTGCAATGAATTAAGGCCCTCTTTTTCTCTAATGTCTTTTGAAAATTTAATTTATACATCTTAAGAAATAAATACATGCAGTGAGTCTATAAATACATGGTTGCTCATACATTTTGAGCAGAGATACCAACGTTGTCAGAATGATACTTTGTTGGACTGGAAATCAGTTATCTGGCAATCTCTACTTCATGAGACACAGCCAAGAAAAGACAAAGTAAACTAAAAATGAAGAAGGGAGCATAGGGAGTGGGAAAACTATATAGTTATGGACATTGCAAAGCACCTACTATGTGCTGGGAGCTAGACTACTAGGCATTTCTATGCTTTATCTAACAAGCATTTCAGAGTCACCAAAATGGATGATGTAGAGTCTACACACCAAAGCTAACATGTATTATTTTTATGAATGCCCTTAAGGGGTATTTTCATTTATTTTAGGTACATGTGAACACCTTTGGTGTTCTAATTTCTCACCAACATCAGACTAAAAAAACAGAAGGTTACTAAGGCAATAATTCTTTTTTTTTTTTTTAAGATTTTATTTATTTATTTGACAGAGAGACAGCAAGAGAGGGAACACAAGCAGAGGGAGTGGGAGAGGGAGAAGCAGGCCCCCCGCAGAGCGGAGAGCCTGATACGGGGCTCAATCCCAGGACTCTGGGATCATGACCTGAGCTGAAGGCAGCTGCTTAACCGACTGAGCCACCCAGGCACCCCTAAAGCAAGAATTCTGACAAGGACAGGAACTGATAAGCCATAGCAAGGGGAAGGAAAGAAAAAAAGAAACATATGTAAGAACTTTCAAAGCAGCATCATCCAAGACCCTTCTGTGCAGAAGCGATCGCCTTACTCTCCTCAGCCCATGTCTGATGACATCCCCATCCCAGCAAACACGTTTCTAGTCCTGTCTTATGCCCTAAGGCCTTGCAGTTCCCATTACAAAGGCAACTGAGTGTGTAATATAGTTTGGAAAGGTTTCATCAGAATATCCAAAAAATAAAAAAGTAAGTCTTTAAGCAAATGTCACATAAATAACAGGTGACAGACTAATAACTATAATATAGCTTTGACCATTCAGAACTAAACTATCTATCTACTGACTTCTGAAATTACTTAAGATATTTTCATGACCCTACAATATACATTTTTTATAGCTACATAAATTATTTTCAACTACTTGAAATTTTGGCCATACTGGTCTTGCAAAAAAAATCATCATTTAGACATGAATCATTAATACTTTCCATTAATTGAATATAAAAACCTTGAGATCTAGATTGGTTTTTAACTTCTGTTCATTACAGCCTCTAATTTTTAAATAATATTGTTATAGATCACATACCCTGCTTCTGACTTTCTGCTAGAGTTGTCCAACCCTAACTGAAGAAGCAGATCTATAAGGATGCCTATTTTCTAGATTTTATGACATCTATTTACTCTTGTTTTGTTTTTGATGTGTATTTGCTCTTATGTAGTATGTACTCTAAAAATAAAATAAAATTTATTTTATAAAAAATTCTGGATCTGGGGGCACCTGGGTGGCTTAATTGGTTAAGCATCCGACTCTTGATCTCAGCCAGGTCCTGATCTCAGGGTAGTGAGTTCAAGCCCTGCATTGGGCTCCCAGCATGGGGCCCACTTTAAAAAAAAATATTCTGGATCCCAACAAAATATTATACTTATTAGTGACTGGTTAAGGGGCACTTACTAGTTTCCATTTTATTTCTTCTTGAAAAGTAAATACCTCAAAGATGGTGTGAATAGGATGGATTTTCTTGCTCCTTGTCATACTGTTTTAATCCCATTTTACTTCACTAGTGACCAAAGAACATCTCAATATGGTGGTCAGAAACAAAAGATGCCAACAAAGAATATATCCCAAGAGGAGACTAAAAGTTAGAACCATCCTTTTTATTCAGCCATACCAATATGAATCCAATATTTCATTATACTCTAAACAGTGAAAACCACAGGGTCTTATTCGAGAAAGAAGTGAACCAGAAAACATGGCTTGCATCAGAACAAGCCCACATACATTGATTGGGTGGACAAGACCAAATTAGAAGTACTCATAGCTCCTCTTGGAATTTTACTTAAGATCAGAAGGCTTTTTGTCAGTTACAGATTTTAACTCTTACAATTTGTGGCATCCAGTTTGGAAACAGATTTTCTACGGCTTTTATCAGAACAAGCCTTCCCTGATTTCTATCTCAACTGCCTAATAAGAAGTCAGACCTTTTCCAGAAGCCACTCATCTAAAAGTCTCTCGCTGGTCATCAGGCCCTCTGCTTATGTGCCCTTTTTGGTTGCATCCTGCTCAAAGCCCCACTGTCCATCCCCTTGCATTTTCAACATTTATAAAATGTTCACAGATGCCATGGATCCCAACTGTGTCCCCATATACTTTGCCTTATTTTTCAAAAGTTTAATATTAATCATATTTTGACTCCTGTGCTATTCCTTTTTTAAGTTCCATTTTTTTTTTTTCGGTGTCCAAACCAAAATAACATTGGCATGTCACCAGCTACCAAGACCTTCGAGACAGGAGTGCAAAGTGAGGCACTTGGACAAAAGCATGTCAACATGAAAGATCTAAAGGATAAACTGGACAAGCAAAAATTGTATTTTGAGAAAGGTGGTCTCACCAGTCAAACCTATTTTTCCTTGAAAATTACATAACTTTAATGATAGAGTGTATTTGTAACAGTAAAATATATTTTATTAAAACATCGGTCCTAATCTGTGGTTAACCAGTATTTTTAAGATAAAATTAAGATGTATGACTGTACCACAGGATTTCTTATTGAAAATTACACCAATCTCTTTTAACTTTGGACTCTTAAGAGTCTGTGGCTTCTGTACACAAAATGTGATCTTACTATAGCAAAACCAAGTTTAGAGTCATACAGTCCATATTTTACTTAATTCTGTAGTTAGCAGAAGTCTTGGATAAGAGAATTCAAAAGTTTGGAAGGACCTTAAGATCAATGAGTCCAATACCGATTCTCAATCACATAAAAGAAAAACAGTGGTCTGAAGAAGAGATGAGGTAATGTGCCCAAGCTCTACAGCTTGCTGGCTGGTAAAGTCATAAATCCAGCCTGGAGAATTTTAACCAGGTCATTTTCACTACTTTAGATGTGATCTTAATTTTCATGTTGTTCCAATCCATTTGACTAGTTTTCCTTTCCATTTTACTGTCTCTCATTTTAGAGAAGACACTTGTTTTTTTTCTCAATTTATACCCTCTCTGGGGAAGCTCCTAGAGCTGGGTTTGCCCTGAACTGTGCCCCCTGCACTAACATATACAGATTCATGCACACGCGCGTGCACACACACATACACACACACACTTTCCCTTCCCTCTCAGGACCCTCCATTTACCAGATGGCTGGGTGCATCCAATGTACTAATGGAAAAGCAGAGTGTCAAAAGCTTAGGAGCTCCTAGTAAGGTTTCATCACTTCAGTATTTATGAATGCTCTAATCTAGAAAATACAGCCAGTCCATAAACAATGAGATTACAGAATCTTACCATCAGATCAGTCTTAGAGATGCCAAGGCCCAGGACTGTTGTGATTTGCCCAGCATCATTTAGCAAGCTGGCAATTAGTGGCAGCTAGCCTTGTTGCCAATTAATTACTCCTACATAGGAAGTGAGATTTTAAAAATAGTAAAATGGGACCTTGTGCATTTCTTTCTTGCCCTGAAAGGACACAACTGTTTGTTTACCGTGTGTTCATTGTTGAGTAATGGGCAGTTAATGAAATTATTTTCACTCGTGATATGATTGCCTATTTCCTTTATAATTATGGATTTTATAGCATCTACAGTTTTTTTGTTAAATGTATGAAACTTATTTTACAGCTTTATGAAAAAGTTGCGCTTCTTCTGACAAATTTAGGTAAGTGAGACCCTTCTTATTTCATGGTACAGTATTGTGGTCTGGGAAGTATCTTTTCAAAGACTGATTTCTGAAACACTGCTCGAGAAATACTCTTTTTATTTTGAGTTGCATACAATAATTTGTTCTTTGCCTTCAACAGGACATTTTAAATAGTCTAGTAATTGGGGGATCGTTTCTATTTAAAGCTTTAAAACCTGTCATAAACATTATCTATCATGAGCTAATGTAATTTGAGGCAGGTTTTCTCTTAATGCACAAAAATATAGCATCACAAAAGTAGTAAAGTGCCCAGAATCATTTAGAAAAGTATTCATTTGCTATTGCCTACAATTTTTATTTAATTAAAAATGTATCAAGTTTTTGTGGTATATAAAAACCACAGCAAGGTTAGTTGCTTTGAAGACTGGGGGCCTTCTACCAGTAATATAGGTGGCCTGATCATTACTGACATTTAATAGAAATAGCATTCATCTGAATAAGTCACCCCGAAGAACATTTCTCTGACTCCATAAAACATTAGAACAATCTGGTAGCTGACTATACACTGTACATTTTCCATGTTTTCAAGATAAAGAAATTGTCCCAATTTTATTAATGAAACATTAGTCATTTTACTCTGTGCAATTTGAGAAAATTACATGCTCCCACACATAAACCTATTTTAGCACATTCCCATATGTAACTTGTCCAGAGTGGGGGAGAAATCACAAAAGTGCTCTTATTTATAATAATCATTATAATACAAGACGCCATTTTTTGAGCCTTTCTATGTGCCAGATGCAGAGCTAGATACCTGGAATATCTCCTTTAATGTCATTAAAATCCTCCATCATTACCACCCTTTGCCCAGAAAGATAGAAAGAGGTTTATAGCCACAGAAGAGGTCACTGCATTAGCAGATTGTGTCCAGTGGCACCTTGATCCAGGCTGGCAAAGTTGCCAGGGAGATACAGCTCTGGCCCATCTGTGGTCAGGATACCTGGGCATGCACCCAGCTGGCTAACAACCTCGGACACCTTCCTATGTAACCAATAGTTAAGTAGCAGAAGTGAAGTAAAGCTAAAACCCTTAAAAAATCCTCTTTTTTCCCTCAACAGCAGTACAGCCTTGTCAAATATGATTCTCCTCCCCCTTCTCAGATATGCTTCTAGCAAGCAGTTTGAGGAACTAGTAGAAAAGGAATTGATGGGGTGAAATGGTAAAGAGCAATTAGAAGCTCAGGGAATGTGGAAACAGAGAAAGTACTATGGAATTAAATATATTTTCTTTGACATTGCTTGGGATGAGGGTGCAGCTCCTAGGGAAGGATAGGTGCATTTGACATGAGATGTCAAGTTGGAAGTTTGATTCATATTTTGATTCATATCACAATGTCCAAAGAGCACTTGCTTTATGGAAGTCAAAATATAAGAAGATGAGAATTGGCGCCTGACTGAGGGCAGAATACTGTAAGATACAGATGGTAATATACAGTAAAAGCTCTAAAATGAGGTCATCTCCTTGGTATTTGTCCATGTGAATGAAAAGTGATGGATGAGGGTGAGAGGCAAAGAAGTCAGATACTCTCAGTATTATTAGAGGGGGGGGTCTGACTCCCTCTCCCGCAGCAGCACCTGGCATTTCACCAGAACAGAATTTGAGAACAAGGAATTAATTAGGAGCTGGGAGGGGACCTGACCCCACACAGGCTCTACCCCAAAGGGAGAAACTAAGAGCAAAAGGAAATGAGGGTCCCTTCAGCCCTCATTCTCTCTACTCCAGGCTCTCTGGGCATCCTGTCACAGCAGGACAAACTGGATATTCCATCCCCTCAGATATGTCAGTAGCTGCTTCCCACCACACCCTGGTTGGGGCTGGTCTGCAAGCTTGAGGATCTCATGGGTGGTGCATTGCATCACACACCATTTAAAGGCAAACTGGGGTCTCGTGCAGCCTCCTTAGGACACCTCTGTTCCTGCCCTGTGTGTGTAGGGAGTAGGGCAGAGGGAGTTAAAAAGGGGTCAAAGGCAACCTCTCAAACTCTACTCCCTTTTTGTCCACAGAACAGCCTCGCACAGAGTCTGAGTGGGAGAACAGCTTCACCCTGAAAATGTTTCTTTTCCAATTTGTCAATCTGAACAGCTCCACATTTTACATCGCATTCTTCCTTGGAAGGTAAGGACCTGATCTCTCCACACTTCTGCAGGCCAGGGACAGAGCACTCGGAGGTCACTGACCAGGGTGAGAGAGAAGCACCTCCTTTAGCGTGATTTACACAAAGGGTAAAAAGAGATTAGCTTCCTCCTTTCCCTTCCTATGCCCATACTGGGGAATGGTCACTCCACTCAAAAGTTACCTGTGCACATTTTCTTGCTAAGGTACATAGAGGAAAAGCATTTGCACAAATGAAGGATGGATTTAAAACTAGTGGGCTCCATCTGCACCTGGGTCAGGCCCCCGGATCTCACACCTATATAAGCAGGTGGCCTAATGGGGTGGGTGGTCTGTAATGTGTTCTGGATGCCCACCTTCACAGAAGAGGGAAGGACATCCAGACAGGAAGGGGGCTGACATAGGATGCCAGAAGAGAGTGGGCAACTTCTGAATCCAGCAGTTACGAGGATTTGCAAAGGCTCCTGTGTTAAGTAGTCATGCCCTATGAATTCTTTTGTGTCGGGAAGTAGTTTCTGAGGATATAAGAACCAGAGACAGGTGAGTGTTGGGTTTTGGTGGGATGGATGCATCAGCTTCTCCTCAGTATCGAGCTACTTCAGTGTGGAATTCTAGTCAAACAGTAAAGCTGTTGTTGTTGTTTTAATTAAACTTCTATTCAAAAAGATCAGAATGTGTTTCAATCCAACATGCTGTTTGTTACACAGGCCAGAGCACTTGATATTTAGCAGAAAATGTTCAAAGTCACAGCAAGCAACAAGAGCTGGCCTCTGTGGTCAGCAGCCAGGTAGTCTAGAAGGGAAATAAATATTCCCTGGAGAATTCCAGAAGCTGCAGTTATGGCAGCTCTGGAGAGTTTCCTAATTCTCTCAGACCTGATTGTACCAGTAATTTTCATTGGAGATGTGCTAATCTGAACATAATAGTTACGAAAAGCTTAGACCTACAGGATGCTAATGGTTTGTTTTTCTGTGTGTTGAAGATTTACAGGACACCCAGGTGCCTACTTGAGGCTGATAAACAGATGGAGACTAGAAGAGGTCTGTATTCTCCCATCATTCCTTATTTTCTACAGTCTTATATTAAATAACCTAGGGCAACTTTGTGCAGATTAGAAACCAGACACTTTCTTCCTCTCCATTGATTCTGAAATTTCTGTGTTTGCTTACCTCGCAGTGCCACCCTAGTGGATGCCTTATTGATCTCTGTATGCAAATGGGTATTATAATGGTGCTAAAGCAGACCTGGAATAATTTCATGGAACTTGGCTACCCGTAAGTACCTTAGACATCTACAGTTGAGACACAGCATTGCTCATTATTGGCTTTTCTAGGTGTGGCAAGTAAGATAAGCAATGCAGACTGAGCAGTTAAGGCAGTACATATATCTGGAGCTAAAGTGTTCATGCTCAGTTATTCAAAGGCAGTCATGAAAGTAACAAACATTAGCTCTTTAGGAAGATTTAGTACAAGAAGTATGAATGATAGTGAATATTCTAAAAAGTCTCTGTGGGGCCCTAAATATTGAACACTTGCTTGCAGCTCCTTTAAATAATGCCTCTGACCCTCATGCTGTAGCATTACAAGGCTCTCAATAGTTACAACCCATTAACTAGAGCTCTACCCATCCCACCCCCATGATAAATCAGGAATGGTAATTTTTTTAAACTACCTTAAATTCAAACTGTACAGAAAAGGAACCTATGGAAAAGAGAAAAGTTTAGGGATGGAGAAAAGAAACGAGAGTATTTCTAAGTCAACATATCTTAATGAGTAAAAATATGGTCACCTGGTGATAATAGTTTATGTTGATGACAATAGGCAAAAACTTGCATTACTTTTTTAAGGATAACCTTGAATTCTGCTATGTTTGCTCAGCTCCGGTCAGTTAAGTTTTAAAGGAACATAAATCAGCTACTTCTATTTCTGCTTTAATTCCACACCTACTGGTTTCCATGTCAGCTTGGTGTCTCCATGGAGAACTCCCGGTTTCAGGGAGAACCACTCAGCCAGAACGATTAGCTAGAACTTGGATCACTTCGAAAAAGTCACCTCTTAGCTCTCAGTCAGAAGCTATGCCAGTAATTTTCTATTCTTAGATTTTTAGAAAACTTATTCCAAGTACTTGATGTTTTCTATGAAACTTTTTTTAAATGCATGAAATTTAAAAATTAACATTATATGCTACTTTAAAGTATAAGCCACAATTTATCAAAATGTCAGAGACATCAAGGGAACTGTATTTTATCTTCTAGTAGTATGGACAGAGAGCAAAATTGTGAAGTACGTCGTTTGTCTTTGATACCCGTCCCATTATTTCCTTTATTTCACAATTTGTTTTTGTGTTTTTTTGGCATGTCTGCTCTTGGATACCCCTCAGTGTTTCCTTGTCCCCTATAGCACACACACCTGGCCCTTGCACCCATTTCCTCAACTCTGTTCCATATCATAAATGCACTCCTGAACATTACTAAAGATTAATATGTTAACCTCACCAGTGTGAGATGTATTTTACTGGGACTCAGAGCCCCTGTTGAGCTCAAGCTAAAAGCAGGCAAGTCCAGCTGTAGACGTGCAGGCTTCCGTGTGCTAAGAGGGGAAGCATTTAGTGGGTCTGCAGATCTTCCAGGCCCTCAGTCAGAGTATGCAGGTCAGCACCCACATGGTAAGACTGCCCATGGGTCCTAAATTAAGTCAGCTAGGCCAAACCTTCCTCTACTCCAAGGTCTGGGTGTTACCTTGGTGCTAGAAGATCAGTTTATAGATGTTCTTAGTCCTCTATCCCACCCTCTGAGGCGACACTGAACATGAAACAATTTCATGAATAGTTAAAAAGTCATTCTGTTCACTTGAAGTGCAAATGCCTGAAGTATAGCCATTGATACTGTCTTCCTAATCCAAGGTTTTATTTCCTTGGCAGCTGATCCTAAACATTTTTGAACTATGGTTCTATATTTGAAGTCTGTCTTAAGTCTTATGAACAGTCATATATTTTTTTAAAGGAAATGATCTTGTTGTGCAGGTTAATTCAGAATTGGTGGACCAGAAGGAAAGTACGACAAGAACGTGGGCCTGAAAGAAAAATAAGTTTCCCACAGTGGGAAAAGGACTACAATCTTCAGCCCATGAATGCCTATGGACTCTTCGATGAATACTTAGAAATGAGTATGCAAATATCTTATTTTATCTTATTAATTCTAAATGCCAATTCTAGATCTCAAGCTATATTCAGCTAGACATGCACCCTCTATCATTGAGGCCAGCAGGGTGGGGGGATTCTCCAGCTGAATGCAGAGGAGGGAGTTTCTTCCTTTAAGAAGCTCAATCCATAGAGATGGTGCCAAACAAATTCTTCATGACATTGTGTCCTGTCCCTTGTAATCAATCACCAGGAAACAAAAATGAGTTGGAAAACTTGGTGAACCAAAGAAAAAGGAGTTATCATGGCATGATTGATTCACTCATTTAGCAGACATGTATTGAGCCATGTTATGTCCAGGCAGATGCTATGCTTGACACTAGAGCTACAAGAAGGAATAAGGCACAGTCCCAGCTCTCGAAGAGTACATGGGCTAGTGGGGGAAAGCCAGAGACGTAAAGTGTCCGAGATGCTGCAGGATGCATCAGTAGAAGGGATGGGGGAGCAGCCATTTCTCTTGGTGAGCATGGAAGGAAGCTGGGAATGCTTAAGCTATGCTGCACTTATATTTAAGGAATTAGATTTCTCTATTAATCAAACCCAAGCTATTTATCTTGTATGTTGTACATGTACCCAAGCATGTATCCAAGAGCATAAGCTATGGAACCAGATTACCTGGGTTCAAATCCCAGCCCTATCACTTATTAACTATGAAACTTGGACAATTAATCTCTGTCTCAATTTTTTCACCTCTGAAGTGGGGATAATAAAGAGAGTAACCACTTCATAAGGTCATTGTGTGGATTAAATGAGTTAATAAATGGAAAGGGCTTAGAACAATGACTGCAATGACCGGGCTCCTAGGATACACTTGGTACATGTTATTTGTATCATCACTATTATTTTCCTGTTCTTAATCTCCCGGGGTAGAAAAGCTAACAAAATTGCTCAGCAGATATATTGAGTGTTTATGGGTTGTTGTTTCTTTCAATTATGTTTAAGCTCTGTAACATTGGGGTAAAAGTGGGGGTAGCGATGAGCGAGATGCATTACTTCTGAGTTCTTTCTGGGAAAATCTGAAAATTAAAGGAGTAGTAGAATTGATGCTTAATGTTCTTAGATTGCTTATGTCTTAAGTATCGACTGATGTTTTTGGAGTTTCAATTATAGAATGGCAGGATAATATAACTTAGAGAAGAAATCATGTGGGCATTAATAATAAAACTTAATAAAGGGAATTCATTAAGAGAACTAACCATTTTGAGGTCTCTTAATGGACTTTTCTCCCATAAAGAAGGAAATGAACAATAATGTTGGTATATTGAGTGCTTGAAAAGAAGCTTTTATGTGGCTAGAATTAGTAGTGCTCCAAATACTGCAGTATCTGCAGCAAGAAACAAATCTCAGAAGCATCACAAGCAGACTAGTTAATCCTAACTGCTTCCTTCTGCTCTTCTCATTTTATTTTCTTAATAACTTCCCTGCTTTGTTATTTATATTTTAAGTATATTTGTTGAAGTATAATAGATAGTGCAGAAAGTATATAAATAAATGTGCAGATCAATAAATTTTTACATATTTACCAATCTATGTAGGTGAGAATTTGGCAAACTACAGCCCTCAGGTCAAATTGAGTCCATTGCCTGTTTTTGTAAATAAAGTTTTATTGGTTCACAGCAATATCCAGTTATTTACATATTATCTATAGTTGGTTTTGCACAATAGTAGAGTTGAGTAGTTTCGACAGAGACTGGCCTACCAAGCCTCAAATGTTTGCTGTCTGGCTCCTTAAAGAAAATGTTTGCCATCCTGTATGGTCAATCAAGAAATAGAATATTATCACTATCAAAGAAGGCTCTTTGTTTTCTCTCCAAGTCATAACACCCTCACTAACCACTCTCCTGATTTCTAACACCATAGATTAATTTTGCCCTTTTTTATCTCCATGTGATGAAATTGTACAATATATACTGTTTTATAACTGGTTTCTTTCACTAAATATCATGTGTATAAGCTTCTTCTATGTTGCTACACATAGTAAACAAGAAGAAACTTTAAATCTACAAGTATGTGGAAACTGAACAACGTACTTCTGAACAACCAATGAATCAAAGAAATCAAAAGGAAAATAAAGTATCTCCAAACAAATGAAAATGGAAGTACAACATACCAAAACTTATAGGACAAAGACAGTTTTTTAAAAAATTCCAGTATAATTAATGTACAGTGCTATATTAGTTTCAGGTGTACAATATAGTGATTCAATAATTCTATACATTACTCAGTGCTCATCCATGATGAGTGTACTCTTAATCCCCTTCACCTATTTCACCTAACCCCCCACCCATCTCCCCTCTGGTAACCACCAGTTTGTTCTCTATATTTAAGAGTCAGGGTTTTTGGTCTTTTGTTTTGTTTCTTAAATTCCACATATGAGTTGTAATCATCTGGTATATGTTTTTCTCTGACCAGTTTATTTCACTTAGCATTATACCCCCTAGATCCATCCATGTTGTTGCAAATGGCAAGATTTCATTGTTTTTTATGGCTGAGTAATATTCCATTGTATATAAATACCACCTCTTCTTTATTGGATTGCTTCCATATCTTAGCTATTGTAAATAATGCTGCAGTAAACATAGGGGTGCATTTTTTAATTAGTGTTTTCATATTCTTACCAGTAGAGGAATTACTAAATCATATGGTAATTATATTTTCAATTTTTTGAGGAACCTCTACACCATTTTCCACAGTGGCTGCATTACATTTCCACCAACAGTGTACAAGGATGCCTTTTTCCCCACATCCTCCCTAACACTTGTTGTTTCCTTTGTTTTTTATTTTAGTCATTCTGATGGATGTGAGGTAATATCTCATTGAGGATTTGATTTGCATTTCCCTGATGATGGGTATTGCTGAACACCCTTTCATTTGTCTGTTGGCCATCTGTATGTCCTTTATGGAGAAATGTTTGTTCATGTCTTCTGCTCAGTTTTTCATTGCATTATAATTGGGTTTGTTTGTTTGTTTTTGTATTTTGTTTTGGTGTTGAGTTGGATGAATTCTTTATATATTTTGGATATTAACCCTTTAGCAGATAAATCATTTGCAAGTATCTTCTCCCATTCACTAGGTTGTCTTTTTGTTTTTTAATGGTTTCCTTTGCTATGCAAAAGCTTTTTATTTTGATATAGTTTCAATAGTTTATTTTTGCTTTTGTTTCCTTTGCCTTAGAAGACATATCTAGAAAATGTTGCCATGGCCAATGTCAGAAAAATTGCTGCCTGTGCTCTCTTCTAGGATTTTTATAGTTTCAGGTCTCACATTTAGGTCTTTAATCCATTTTGAGTTTATTTTTGTGTATAGAGTGAGAAAGTGGTCCAGTTTTATTCTTTTTTATGTAGCTGTCCAATTTTCCCAGCAGGATTTGTTGAAGAGACTTTTTTCCCATTGCATATTCTTGCCTTCTTTGACATAGATGATTTTACCATATAACTGTGGGTTTATTTCTGGGCTTTCTATTCTGTTCCATGGATCTATATGCCTATTTTTGTGCCAGTACCATACTGTTCTGATTACTATAGCTTAGTAGTATATCCTGAAATCTGGGATTATGACACCATCAGTTTTGTTCTTCTGTTTCAAGATTGCTTTAGCTATTCAAGGTCTTTTGTGGTTCCATACACATTTTTGGATTATTTTAGTTCTGTGAAAAATGCTTTTGGTATTTTGATGGAGATTTTGTTAAATCTGTAGATTGCCCTGGGGAGAATGGACATTTTAACAATATTCATTCTCCCAGTCTATGAGCATGGAATATATTTCCATTTGTTTGTGTCATCTTCAGTTCTTTGATCAGTGTTTTATAGTTTTCACAGTATAGGTTTTTCACCTCCTTGGTTAAGTTTATTCCTAGGTATTTTATTATTTTTGGTGCAATTGTAAATGGAATTGTTTTCCTAATTTCTCTTTCTTCTACTTCATTATTAGTGTATAGAAATGCAACATATTTCTCTGTATATTGATATGACATCCCACAACTTTACTGAATTCATTTATCAGTTTTGGTAGGTTCTTTGGTGAAGTCTTTAGGGTCTCCTATATATGGTATCATGTCATCTACAAATAATGAAAGTTTTACTTCTTCCTTAGCAATTTGGATGTCTTTTATTTCTTTTTCTTGTCTGTTGCTGTGGCTAGGACCTCCAGTACCATGTTGAATAAAAGTTGTGAGAATGGATATCCTTGTCTTGTTCCTGACCATATGGAAAAAGCTCTCAGTTTTCACAATTAAGTGTGATGTTAGCTGTGAGTTTTTCATATATGGCCTTATTATATTGAGATACATTCCCTCTAAACCTACTTTGTGGAGGTTTTTTTTTTTTAATCATGAATGGATGTTTTATTTGTTGAATGCTTTTTCTGCATCTACTGAAAGGATCTATTCATCACTGACATGATGAATCATGTTGATTGATTTATGAATATTGAACCACCCTTATATCCCAGGAATTCCACTTGATCGTGGTGAATGATTTTTTATGTATTGTTGGGTTTTGCTAATATTTTGCTGAGGATTTTTGCACTATCCTCATCAGAGACACTGCCTTGTAGTTCTCTTTTTTTGTAGTGTCTTTATCTGGTTTTGGTATCAGGGAAATGCTGGCCTCATAGAATGAATTTGAAAGTTTTCCTTCCTCTTCTGTTTTTCAGAATAGTTTAATTAACTCTTCTTTATATGTTTAGTAGAATTAATCTGTGAAGCTATCTGGTCCTGAACTTATGTTTGAGAGGTTTTTGATTACTGATGCAATTTCATTGCTGGTAATCAGTCTGTTCAAATTTTCTGTTTCTTCCCAATTCAGTTTACAGGAGTATATATTTCTAGGAAATTACTCATTTCTTCTAGGTTGTCCCATTTGTTGGTATATAATTTTTTATAATCTCATATAATCCTTTGTTACTTCTGTGGTATTGGTTGTTATTTCTCCTTTTTCATTTCTGATTTTGTCTATTTGAGTCCTTT